AAATTACTTGAATGTCCAAAATTAACTTATAAACACAAATCACGATGAAATTCAGCACAAATAAATATTGTATAAATATAAAAATATTCACAAAATTTTATCGGGCTTGGTCCATATTTGCCTCTAGCCCCCATATAAAGCCTCTTTCAGAAAGTTTGTTTTTCATCCATAAATTGTTTAAATGTATCGGAACAAGGTAGTATTGAAGATAAATGCTTTATTATGAAAAATAAATCACATTTAATATTCGTAACTGGTGTAGGGTATAATATGGTCCGTCACGCCCGACTATACTTTCTTACTTGTTTTTTCTCCAGATTGTTAAATATTAGTGTGTTCTGATAGATCAGATACACAGTCACTTTAAGTGAGAATAAATTCAATTTTCCAGCTTTATAAGTTAAAAGTCATGGGTCCAAAAAGTCAATGTTCACTTGTCACTTAAAAAAATAATTTTTTTAGACCATTAACTTTAAAAATCAACTTTGTTATTTAAAAAGTGGATGTCTACTTTTACCCATATTTTGAAAAATTATTAAAAAATACTAGGATAAGTATTTTTTTAATCTCTTTGTCTGTTCAATAACTAAAAGTTGTTACTAATTTTCACAAAATATTTGAAATTTATATTGAAAAACAAAAACGATTTCTGATAATTTGTAACAAATTTTTGTTAAATAACAGACATTATATTTTCTAACAAAATTTCTTAATTTAAAGTTTAATTTTTAAATTTTTAATTAGTAAATCCCAAATTGATTACAATAAAATTAAGGACAATTGACCTGTTAAAAGCGGGATTTGTAGCAAAAAGCAGGATTTGTTATTAAAAAGCGGGATTGAAATCTAAGTCGGGATTAACCTTTAAAAAGCGGGATAATCCCGCTTTTGGCGGGATGTCTGGTCACGTTGCTTATGCAGAACAAAATTCAGCATAGTTAATTTTGTACATTATGAACGTTTCTATTTTTAAAGTGGTATGATTACATATGTAGTACATACATACAAATTTATTTTTTCATTTCGTCGTAGACCTAAAAAAAGTATACACATTCATTGTCTATAGTAGACTCATTCTATTTAGGCCGAAAATTTGGATCAAAATTAACACAAGAAATCCTAATAGGAACTCCTATCAATACATTACAATCAGTTATTTGATGAAATTTATTTTTATATCGAATCGATTTGAATCTACAAAAATAATACAAAAATTGTGTAATATTCAATTTCTGCGGTTTTTCTTACAAATTATCATATTTTTTTAAATTGATTCTCTTAAATGAAAATTATTTTGTTGTCTGCGTAGTATTTTGCAAGAAAATAATAAACCATTCCTCGATCGAAATTCATCATACCTTTCCAAATCGATTGATTTCAAATCGTTCGAATTCCATCACATACCGGAATATTAATTTTATTTCGGCACAGTCAAATATAAAATATATTTTTTAAATGATATCTGGAAGGTTTTGCATTTCAAGCGTTCTACAAATCTGAGTGATAACGGCAAAGGTAAATTAAATTGATCTGAATGTAGATAACATTTTCCAAAGAAAAGGTTCATTTATGATCTAAATTAATATTCGAAGGATTGAACGAGATATTTATTTTTATTTAGGAAGTATGTATGTAGTTACCAAATTTCTGAAATTATGATATTCTAAAAGTTTTTATTTAAGAATTGGAATTAATTGCATTGCTTTAATTTAAATTTATCTTCTTTCGATTAATTTCCGTAAGATTAAACAATGTTTTTCACAAACATGAAGATTTAAGATTTTCATGTATAAAATAATTAAATTGTATGTAGTCCCAAAATCCGAGATCCCGGGATTGCAATTTTCAAAATCCCGAATCCCGGGATTTGTAAAAGCCAGTCCCGTTTGGCATTCCTAATTGAGACGCATCGTTTTAGAGATATTCCTCCTAAACAGTGGTCCACGGGACACTCTAATGCTTAATTTCATGTTTCTAGGATATTCAAAAAGAACCTTTTGAAGAACGAAAAAGTACCAAAAATCTGTTACAGGTTATTACCAGGGCAAGGATTTTCATGCACTTAAAAGTGAAAAATATGCGCTTATAACATGCACTATAAAATGGGAAAATATGCACTAAAAATATGTACCATAAAATATTTTCTTGTGCAATTTATTTGTAAAAGAATAACATTTTGGTCATACAGGGTTTTCTTTCAAATGAGTTTAACTTTCACTGTTTACAATTTTATTTTTTTAATTCTTTTAAATTAAAATTGTTTTCAAATTTAAAATTTTTTTTTAAATAATTTTGTTTTAATTGTAAAAATATGTAATACAAAAAAAAAAAACAGAATTTGTGTTCGAAAAATTAAAAAATATGCTGTAAAAATGTGCAAAATATATGCAATTTAGAGCAAAATTGCATGCATTTATAACAAAATATACAAAAACAAATCGATGGCATTTTGTTCAAAATTCTTTGACTCGAAAAGAAAACTAGTTGAAAGTTTTTTGAGTAACTGACTACAAACATGCATTTGCATGCAAATCCTTGCCCTGGTTATCACTTACTCCGGGCCCTACATGCTTAATTTCATATTTCTAGGTTCAATATTATATAAAATTCAAAAAGTACTCCGGGCCCTACATGATCAATTTCATGTTTCAAGCCATGACATGACGTTTTGCTCTTGCTCTGCTTTGTTATTACAAACAAGCAAGTGCAAGCACAAAATTTACCGTATCATTAAGTGTGTTGTTATTGTTTGTTTATTTTTTTTATGCATTCACCAATAATCTAAATTTTTGATGAAATTTTCAGAGGTTGTCTCATATTTTTGCTCAGATCTCCGTTATTTATGGACCGATTTTGCTGATTTTAAATACTGTTCTTCCCGATCGTATGTCTGATAGTTGAAGATTCGGATCTCGCATATATCTGGGGTCTTCTGAAAACTGATTTCAACAGACAGACAGACGGACCTGGCAAAATCGACTCCGCTATCTATAAGGACTGTATCCTTATAGATAGCGGAGTCGATTTAGATATATATACTTTATAGGGTCGGAAAATTATATTATAGAAATTTCAAACGGAATGACGAACTTATATATATACATATACCCTTCTCACGAAGATGAAGGGTATAAAAAAGTTGATTTTGTTGATTCCATAAGAAATCTTTAAAAATTGCACAAATATCTTAATTTACTTAAAGAATAGTAATATACCATTATAGATATCTATATAGAAAAGTACCCAGCAAACATAAAACGAAGTACTTCCAAAAGAATAACATTTATCACCACTTCAAAAGTAGCACTAATTAATTTTTTTTACCTTCTGAGGAAGTGATGTACAAAGACTTCCGAAGAAGCGAAAATAATTATATTTTTTCAATGTTGAAGATATATTTTTTTTTGTTCTTACCTTTTTATGAGTTAAAAAATATTATATTTGGGCTTTTGTACTAAATGTTTCTATTACCCTAATTAATGTTAATATTATTTAAGTAAAATTAGTTGTATTCTATAATACTACAATTTCAATTTCGAATAACTTCCATAAAAGAGCATTAAAATTACTTCTTGCGAATGACTTCAGATGTAGTGAATTTGGAATCAAATAAAAAGGACATCCCTCCTATGACAAGATTGTGTTAAAATAATCACTTCTTCAGGTCTTTTTCAGTACGTCCATGGAGTAAATTCTACTTCTTTTAAGCTTCTTCGGAAGTTCTTTTTTTTTGCTTTATAGTGATCTGGAAATGTATAAACATAGGCTTGTTATCCCTCACCTGATAAATATGGTAATACATATAAGTATGTACATAGTAATTATTGTAAAATTTTAACGGTTTAAGATATTATTTTTGGAAATCATGTTTATCTAAATGTCCTCAAATCAAGGGCATTCAAATTATGTTTTTCTTTATTTCTAAATACAAATGTGTTCAAAAACTAAATGTTTTTTATATATCGCTCATTTACTACAAGAATTTTTCGAATATTTAGTGATATTTATCTATTTTTAAAACAACTTTTCAACATATCATGCGATTTAAAAAGTTATACCGAATTCAGACATTAGACTTTAATACGTTTCTTATCTAAATTAATGACATTAGTTTTTACGTTTACAGCAAAAAATCGATCTTACACCGAAAATAATAGCCATATTTGAATGTTGATATTGTATGTTCCATAGCCCTAAGTTCAAAAACACGGATTTTGGTCTCAGAGGGCGCATATTTTATATTTTACCCGAATTTGAGTCACAATTATCAATTAACTTGAGAACCCGTCCACTGACCCGACTGTTTCAGAGGGCGCATATTTTATATTTTACCCGAATTTGAGTCACAATTATCAATTAACTTGAGAACCCGTCCACTGATCCGACTTCACCTACGAGCGAAGAAACTACAAATAAAAAAGAAACTACCTCAATTCCACAAGCAAAAATAAAACGAAGTACTTCCAAAAGAATAACATTTATCATCACTATTTGAATTTTTTACCTATGAAACGAAAGTGATTATATTTTTTCAATGTTGAAGATATATTTTTTGTTCTTACATTTTTATGAGATTTTTATATTTGGGCTTTTGTATTAAATGTTTCTATTACCATAATTAATGTAAATATGATTTAAGTCAAATTAGTTGTAATCTATAATACTTCAATTTCACTTCCAAATAACTTACAATAAAAGAGCATTAAAATTTCATCTTGAGAATAACTTCGGAAGTAGTGAATTTGGAATTAAATAAAAAGGAAATCCCTCCTATGACAAGCCTTTGTTAAAATTATCACATCTTCAGGTCTTTTTCAGTACTTCCATGGAGTAAATTCTACTTTTTTTCGCTTCTTTGGAAGTTTTTTTTTTGCTGGGTAACTGTTATTCAATAGTTCACGAGTTACCGAATTATTTCCTTCAAAACTGTATTTGTACAATTATGAATCAAAACTAAATTCAGTATTAATATTTAAATAACTTGTATATCTATTTCTTAGGTCTTCCATATATGCTGGAAAGAGCTGGACTTGACGTGCAACAAGGTAAATAAAAACTTATAATTTTGATGTCGATCACCACCTTTTATTTATGCAATATTTCAATTGACAGAAATTATTGATTTAGGTAGATGTCACCCTAACTTTTACAGATCCCCAATTTTTATACCCTCCATCACCATCAGTGCCCCGCAGTACGAAGAACTAGTTCATCAACGGTGATATCAACAATCACTAGGACTATCCCCAGTGAATTTTCAACCCACTAGCAATGTTATTTACTATTGAATTTAACATGGGGATGTTATTGCGAGTGGCCGATTGAAACCTTATGCATAACATGTTTCCGTTAATATCACTAGTTCAAATTCTCCTCCAAAAAATAAAATGAAAAAATAAATTCTGAAACTGGGGTTGAAATTGGTGATGAACACCAATTTGTAATTAGAAGCTCTCACTACTGAGCACTGAGTTGTTATGAATTGCATATAATTTTTGTTAAAATTTTTGTATTTTCTGCATTACTCAGAAACAAATAAAACGAAAAGAAAACGTGTTGGACTTCCGAAGAAACGGAAATAATTATATTTTTTCAATGCTGAGACATTTTTTTGTTCTTACATTTTTGTGAGATAAACATTTTTTTTGGCTTCTGTTTTAAATGTGTCTATTACCGTTATTAATGATAATATTATTTAAGTCAAATTAGTTTTATTCCATAATAATACAAGTTCACTTCCAAACAAAGAGCATAAAAATTTCTTTTTCAGAATAACTTCAGAAGTAGTGAATTTGGAATCAAATAAAAAGGACATCTCTCCTATGACAAGACTGTGTTAAAATCATCACTTTTTTAGCTCTTTTTTAGTACTTCCATCATCTAAATTCTACTTCTTTTTCGCTTCTTTGGAAGTTCATTTTTTGCTGGGTACATATATCCCACTCGCATCCCACTAAGTAATAAGGGTGTGAAGTTAAATTCGTCAGCCAAATACGTCCCACACCACATTTGTGAAATACGTTCCAAATACTGTAAAATTCGTATTCAAATTAATTAAAATTCATTTTTTAATACAAGAATCACCAAATAAAATGTTTTTTAAGAAAACAAGTAAAATTATATTAAAATATATTCAAATAATAAATATGTAAAATAAAAATTAGTTCAAATAATTGCATACTCGTCAAATATGGTGGTAAAATATAGGATTTTTAAATGAAAAAACAGACACTTTGTGGGACATGAT